TATAAGTATTTATTAAATATACATAAATTTATATTTTTCTAAAGAATACAATCTATGGCAACTTGCTTGGGACAGTAGCAAACATACTCTGGTTTAACTTGTGTGGGTATTGAGGGAGGTACAAAGGTGCTACTTAACAGTAAGTATTACTGTAACTATGAGTTTTACAGCACTTGCAACACAAGTCATATAAGCGCTGAAGATCAAAAGGTGTTACTAATAACATATAAAGAAAAGAAGGAGGAGAGATGCGGACGGTAGATGTTTGATAGGAAAGAAGGAGCAAACCACACCAAAGCAACTGCCAACCACTCAACAAAATTAGCATATCGCTTGTCATCGAGAGTTGTTCATGACATATTTGTGGCGATTGATAAAACATCTGTCCACAGCGTGGATGACAGTGTGGGTGGTTGGTGGGTGCTCTCGTGTGGTTTGCTCCTTCTTTCCTGTCAAACATCTATCGTTCTGATCTCTCCTCCTTTTGTGTGTTTGTTACTCTCTACTTTTACGTCTACTGATCTTAGGCATTTACATGACCTAATTATGTTGCAATTGCCGTAAAACTCTCACAAACACTACACTGTAGATAACAGTTTTTAAGCAAAGCTGCATGTAGCGTGGACGTACTTTGCTGCAGCATGCAGGGGCCGCGAGTTCGAATTCCGAGAGGGGAACATTTTTATCGAGTATCTGTCTGTCTGCAAGGATGTTGTATCCCTCTCAGCCAGGGTTGGCCTTGACAGGTAGGGTTGGAGGCCCGCCTCCTAAATGATCTGAATTGTGTGGACGGGGGACGTGAAAACACCGACATTAAAAAAGGAAACGTCCCGAGGTGCCTTGATAGTCAAGCAGACTTTGTGTTGTTGATTTTAAAGAGGTGATCAGAGTAAGTCTGATTCCCTGTACAGACTTCTCTTGTTGACATCCACCCCTTGGCGCTCATATGACCTTATGCTGATGCGAGCGCCATAAAACCTTACTAAAACAAAACACATCTCTGAGCTGTCACTGTGTTTGGGGGCGCGGGCAGAAGCTCATGACACAATGTAGAACCGTGGACAGAGTGAGGATCCCGCCGGCGAAGTAGAACGGCACGGAGTAGGTACCCACGGCCTCAAACAGTGCACCTGGGGATGGAAGGACAAAGGTGAAGGTTACAGGATGACCTATTTTAAAAATCCTTTGCCCATTTATATTAGGTTGACGCCATCTGACTGCATAATTAGTATGACAATTAACTGTTACAGATAGAGATGCCAGGATTATAGATGTAAGTCATTGATCAGAGAGAAATGACGATTTTAGAAATAATGGTGGTGATGAGTGATGATGTGGGATTGCGTTTAAGTAATGTTAGCGTTAGTCCTATCTTCCCCTGTTCCAATGAGTCACGAGGGATGTGAGCATCCTCCATCCCATTCCCTACTGGAACCATCTTTACGGTCACCGCGAAGTTCCGAAATGGTGGGCACAGTCTCTGCTAAGGTGACATTGTTAGTGTTAGCCTATTCAATCGGGCCAAGACAAGTGTCGAGAGGAGCTAAGAGGGAAGACAGTACAGTGGCGGATATGTTGGGGTATTCAGGTTACAGAATGACCTATTTATCCATGATTGTTGAGTGAGGCCCACAGTCTGATAACTGCCACACATGGCATACTGTCATGGCCCATGAATTTTGTTTTTAAAAAAACAAAACGTAGTTGCAAAGTGTGCGCAACCAAGGACGCCCACGTGATGGGAAAATCGCTACTCTCGCTTTCATCGTGTGCGAGTGGCAACTTTTCTCCTCCTCCCCCTCCCCTCCCCACTCCCCCCTTCCTTCCCCTTCCCC